ACATAAAAATAAATAAATATGGAAAAGAAAGATGAAATCAAAATTTTACAACCTATATATTTTGCTTTCAAATCTTTTCAACTTTGCTCATTGTTTTTTAATCCTACACATTAAAAATATAATATTAAGCAAAAAATCATATAATATTACTCAAAAGACAACACTACAAGAAAAATGGTCAATAACGAAGGGAAAACTGGTCCCAAAAACTGAAATTCTGGTCCTTAAAAGTCATTAGCGATCGGAAAACCTGGTCGCCACCCCCGACCCTTTAGCCTCTGTCGCTAAAAGTCATTTAGGACGACATGGAATAGGTGGTCCTTAATTTTATTTTGCGAACAGCCTTCAACTGGTCCTCAAAATGCTTTTAGGGACCAAAATTTTTGGTCCCTGATTTAAGAGATTTCGCGACTATTAAGAATCTGGTCCTAAAAATATTTTCAGAGACTAGATTCACTGGTTCTTACATATAAGACCAATTGGTGCTTAAAGATTTCAAGGACTAGTTTACTGGTCCTTAATGTCTATTTATTTATATAGATATGCTTCTTAATTTTCTATATTTGAAATTATAATACAATTAATTAAGCAATAATCAAATACTTATACAGAAAACCAATAATCTGCTTTCGTGTATATATATATAAACCATAATACATCAGTCACGTCATTGTTTGCACATCAACTTCATGAAAATAAAGAAGAAAAAATTCACATCCTCTATCAAATAATATTAATGTAAATGATGTCCTGTTGGTTTATCTGCTTAGGCTCTTTGAATTCCAGAACCAACAGTTAGCAGTTCCCGTGTTTTAAGAGTCAGGTCCAGCAACCATTTCAAGCAAATTCAAATCTAATTTGTGTCAAGCCCATGGAGGAGAGCTGATCTTCACACAGAAAACCTCACTACCGCAAATTCCTGCAGTGCATAAGGAACAAAAAATTCCCAAACTCAGTTCACACATACAGAACTATGTCATGCATAGGTAAAACAAACCTCAAATAGAAATATATGTATATCCCAACGCGCCAAATTGCACACAAGTGAAATAAATCAAACTAAGAGGCAAGATCAAACACAAAAACGAAATTCCAGATCAAACCATTAGCACTTCTATCAGTAAACCTAGAAGACGTACCGGGAAAGAGACATCGAGCAAACCTGAGTGAAGCAGCTAACTCTTGAAACTGGGGAGCTGCTCACCTTAGAAAAATACATTTGTATTCATAAAAAATAATATATAGAAAGTAACGTCATATATGACTAATCTACTGGTAACCAGCTCAGTCATTCAATTCTAAAATTCTAAAATTGCATGTGAGGAGGTATGTTGAAGATATGATTAAACAAATACAAGTGGTGTCATCTCTAACAACTTAAACTTAAAACAAAAACCATTTCAGAGCTAATGGCAACTTCCACCTCGTATTGCTTAGCTGATTCTTGAAAGAAACAACACAACCAGATGAATGATAAACATGTTACTGACCCATTTCTAGGACCTGGAATAGATCCAATACAAGTTACTGACGAAAGTTATGGGAATCTTCATATACTTTAAATCTGCAAAATCGCTATTCGTTTTAAAGTTAAACACAAACATTTTTCTATGATATTGCATAAATGAAATAAAGGACTACTAGCTTAAGAAAAATAAAAAGGTTAAGAGCAGATGAATGATAAACATGTACTCATGAACTCATACAAGTTTTTTTTTAAAAATAGAACCTTCTTTGAAGTTTCTTGACAAGAATCTGCAAAATATAAGGTTTTTCTTCCGGTAGAAAAATTAATTTAGACTACTTGAGCCACATTTAGAGATATATACAAGAGTTCTGCATTACTTTAAAATTTTAAGATAACTATCCTTAGAGATTGAGAAGTTCAACTCTTTTCCAACAAATATGAGGTAAATTTTAAGATAATTATCCGCGTTTATTATTTGACTAATCTAGTGTCTGTAGGAACTGTAAATTACCAAAACAAGATGGGATTTGCCTGTAAAAAGATTATTAGAAAAGTACATCTTGATAAGTTGCAAGATGACCAACTGTTGCAATCAGTTTTTCACTAAGCTTGATGTTCTCAAATATTAGCCTTTGGGAGATTTCCAATAGAAGGTGGCATACTTCAACTCAGCTGGTTTGCAAAAAATTGCAGAACACCAATGAGCTAAAACCAAATATTTATGATGGAATTTTCCTCTCAGTTGGATTTGGTTCAGATACATTAGAACAACTTGGGAAAGGTTTCCAATAGAGTTTGGAATTTTCAAATATAAGAATCGGTTCATATGTCGTATAAAAAATTAAAATGCATTTAGATAACGCACTAAAAGTATACCTTATACCTAGGGTATGAGTACACTGTTTTCGCATTCAAACTCCCCTACTTTGGGTTGTGTTTGCTTTCAAACAATAAAACTGCTTGCTAACCGAATCACACCTGACAAACTTTTCTAGGCGTCTTTGTGTTTTCTTTCCTACGAATCAGGTGCAAAAATAAAGCACTTCTTCAATTACATAGCTCAAAAATATTTTTCCACTAAAAATATAACTATTTGAATCTTAACATGTCCTCTAGATTAGCCAAGTTCAATTCCATATCCACAAATTTGTAGATACTGAAAAACCTTCCGTGCATCACAAATGAAGAGGAATTCCAACATAACTACTATAGATTTTGTTATCCTCATTAGACCATGCATCTCACCATTAATAGAAATGCATTGTGCAGCTAATAGAGAAAAAAAGATTTACAGTCCCCTCCTTATACTGATTCTTATATAAATTACCATCCCTTTGAAATATCAACCTGAACTTATCAAGAATTCATATATCACAAAGCATTGTCCATAATGTACTCTTCTCCTATTCACTAGTCCCAAATTTGTGTTATCCATTACTTCCTATCATACACTTCCTCTTCCATAATGGAAGACACAACACAATTAAGAACAACACTAGTGTACTCTTTGAATATATTTCAATCCTATGAAGAGTTATTTTCTTAAAAGTTTACATTGGCTAAGCACAATGACTGCTACAATATATTCAATAACAATGTTGATGTACATTTTTTTTACATGTTTTAATCGTTTAAGAGTTCTTTTCGTCAGTTCACATTTGTTAAGCTCATATAAGATTAGCCAAACTACCTCATATATATCAAGGGCTATAGGCCTAAATCAACCATGCCAAAATATTTGTTTGTAGAGCAATTCTATAACACAACCACAGTGAACTGAAGAATTTCATAGAGGTGAAATAGAAGAAACATGAAGGTTTCTTCCAAATTGCGAAATCGCAGATGCAATGTTTTGCATCTCCATCAACCTCTACAAATATAAAAGCTTCGACACTTCTTTGGAATAGATCGAACTGCAAATCTCGCCCATTAATCAAGATTCCAAGTGGTGTTACATGGGTACAGAGAAGGCTAAGCTTGTAAATTAGGTTTGAGAGAAGATGATATGTGTCGCTGAAGAGAAGTTTTGAGGGATGAAGAATTTCTTGTGATGTAGTGTTAGATTAAGAAGGGTTTTCAATTTATTTTTATTCCTTATTTCCACCTCTGATTTAGTATTAAGACCATATATCTATTATTTTAGAGACGAGTATTTTTACCTTTCGTTAATCAATCAGGAATTAAGCACCAACGAAAAACCTTGTCCTTATATTATACTTTCAAGTACCAATTTTTTAACCCGTATCTATATTTTGGTCCTTAACAGAGTGTCGTAATTGGCAGTCACATTTTTACGGTAAAACCTTACTGATAATAACATTTTATAGCTAAATTTGCAGGATTTGATGACCCGTGATTCAAAGGCGGATTCACACTTTTAGGAGGGGGGTGCACGTGCCCCCGCTAACTTCGAAAAAATATCATATGTACGTATATATGTGTATCTATTTTGAGAAACTGACATAACTAGGATATTGTTAATAGTGCACCCATGAAAAACATAAGAGTGACCTCGTGTTGTTGATATAGGCTGGAGAAACCACCTTCAGACCAATGTTTTGAATCCAGCTAAAGCCTTTTTTCATTATTTTTATTTTAAGTTTTGCTCAAAACTCATATTTGAGGTAAGATAATATTGATGCACCCGATGTCTTCAAATTCTGAATTCGCATCTGCCGTGATTGAACTCTTCAAAAACGTTACAGTGAGTATTGTTTTAGGTGTAAAACGTGTCTTAGGGTAATGTATTAAAAAACGTTATAAATCCTACTCACAACGAAGGATGGTTCAAGTCTTAGCTCAAAAAAATTCTCGGGTGTTACATTACGCATGAAAATTTTCTTTTTTGAGTTCAATTTACGAGTCATATATAGTATTTGAAAGGTAGTCAAACAATCAAATAATTAATTTCAAGAAAAAGTAAGTAACCACACAAGTTGTAGCATGATAACTATATCTTAACCAAGTCAACATAAAACTATCATAATCCTAGAAGAAGTTGAATGAAGCAATTACAACAAATCATCCTAAAAAACATAAAAATAAATATGGAAAAGAAAGATAAAATCAAAATTTTACAACCTATATATTTTGCTTTCAAATCTTTTCAACTTTGCTCATTGTTTTTTAATCCTACACATTAAAAATATAATATTAAGCAAAAAATCATATAATATTACTCAAAAGACAATTCAATAAATAAATAAGTAAAGGGTGGGGCTCCATAAAGCCCTTGCTTCACTAGCTTTATTAGATTCCAATAGCATTTTCAATGACTGATTAAAAGTCGAAGAGTCAAAATAAAGATGCTTTCTCTTGAGTAGCCTTTTGATACCAATTGATAAAATAAACATTTAACACAAATTTGAGCCTTTAAGTTGGTAAACGTTTTTGTCATGTGACAATTCATCTACTTAGGTTGCTATTTACTGGTCGAGAGCCTTCCAAAAACAGTCTTTGTATCTTTACGCGATAGTGATATGATATGCATACATTTTATTCTCCCTAGACTCCCACTTAGTGGTAATGCATACAAGACATATTCTCCCTTCATTTTGTAATACTTGGTTGCAGTGGCGTAGCCAGGAATTTTATCAAGAAGGTCCAAACTTTGAATAGTAATTTTTTTTTTAAAAATGATGATTTATAAAGATTCTATTTTTAATAATATTGTGATATAATTTGGGTAAAATTGGTCTCCTATTTATAGAGAAAGAAAACCTTAATCCAAAAGGAAAATGTATTAAAATTTAAGAAAATCTTATTCCACATAGGAAAAGGTATTAAAATATAAAGAAATCTTATTCCACAAGGAAAAGGTATTAAAATTTAAGGATTTTTTTTCAATTAAAATCTTATTCCAAAAGAAAAATGTATTAAAATCTTATGGGAGGTAAGTTTCGAACTTGGGTCACTCAATACAAGCATAACACTATTTACCACCAAGCTACTGAATATATATGTTAAACTTACACATGTTTATTTACTTACAAACTTCAAGAAGGCAAAATAATTACGGAAAAATGAAAACACTCATGCAGGGAATCGAACTTGGACAGAGAGTGGGCTTGCGACAGCTCTAGCCATCTCCACTATAGGTTACTTTTTTAAAGCAGGGTGTCCAAAATACTATATATACCAATATAAGTCAAAACTTTACGTGTATATATCGTATAATTTTTGAACGAAGGGTGTCCAATTGGAAACCCTAGGGACAAGGTGGCTCCGCCTCTGCTTGGTTGCTATTGACAGGTCGAAGGTCTTTCTAAAACGGTCTTTGTATCTTCACGAGATAGTGGTAAAATATACGTACACTCTATTCTCCCTAGGACTCCCACTTTGTGGGATGTTACTAGATATATTGTTATTGATCGCTATTGACCTAATGCATATCTCTTTAAAATAATTTAATTAGAGATGTATGTGTTTTAACACTCTAAATTGGACTAATACTATTTTATTTATATACTTAATACTAAAGATAATATTAAAAAGAATTCTTTTAAATTTTTAAAACAAATAAGTAAAATGAAATATCTATTTGATATTGAGAAAAAGTAAAACGAAACGGAAGATGTGATAATATATGCCTAATATAAGTGATTATATTGAATTATAATTTAGTGAGCCATGTGGTCAAATTGACTATCATTAGAAGGCTGCAAAGAAGGAATTATATTCAAACATAGAATTATATTGAATTTTAATTTCTTATCGTGCGTGCGTGCATGTTGACTACTTGGTAGATGTTGTTACTAACAAATTATTTGCCCGGAACTCGCCTTAAAAAACTGCTATTTGTTTTGTTGAAATTTAAGACTCTTAATTTGATGGGACGTAAAATTTACACAAAAAAAAAAACTTTTAAATTTTATGATTTTAGATTAAAGATTATAAACTATGAAGTACTTTTTAATTTTATGATCTTACAGTTTTTATTGGTAATATGACAAATACAAGTTACAATAGATTTGAAATAAAAAAATAATTATGAATTCTTTTAATTCAATAAATATAGATTTGTTAACGTAACATTATTTGTTAAAGGATAGAGATGTGAACATAAATTTTTTAAACAAGAAATATATTTTTTTTCTCCTTTTCTCTTAAAAAATAACATAAGACCAGCGGAATTTCAAGCCGTACATAGTCCTAATTAGACCTAGGCGAAGCCACGCTATGTAGCTAGATGAAAATATATTTTTTATGTATATATATTATATATTGATATTTCTTCGCTTTTATGTGATATTACTTCTTTATATTTTGACACTTTACATTTTTTATTAATCTAAGTTGTATCTTATGTGTATTTAATAGAGAACAAAAAAGTTCCGACTTTCATCTGATTCTTCAAAAAGAAAAACAACTACATTTCATTTTTGTATGAAAACTCAGTTTTTTTAAAAAAAAATTATGCAAGGGAGGGGATATGCGAGACCGGTTGAAAACTAATAAATTTGCTATGTAAAACGAAACAAGTTGAAATTTTTACGAATTTATACAAGTTTAACATGCATCCGCCCTGTTGTCATCCCAACCCCAAAATAGGTGAAGTTAGGCCCACAAAGGATAAGGTCAAAAATCATCACCTACCAAGTTGGACGTCCACATTAGGACCCACCCCCTAGTCACATTCAACGTTTTCATTCCTAACATTATATAAGAGTCCCAACGTAACACTTTATGTTTACAAAAAAAATAAGAACTTGCTAATTAGCTACTAAAATTCATATCTTCTTCTATGGGAAATTGTATTAGAAAAGAATCCTTTCCCTCTCCTTTACTAAAGGCGAAAACCGTGAATTTGGAGGATGAACTTCTTCTCATGGAAGAAAATAAGGATTGTATTTATTCTTCTGCGAGCTTAACAAAAGAGGTAAAGATAAAGATCACGAAGAAACAATTGTTTGAGTTAATGGGTAAAGCAGATGTTCAAGGCCTATCCGTACATCAACTACTGAAGCAGTTGATGAACGTTACGGAAGGCCTTGAGTTGCGTCAGCGCTCATGGAGGCCTGCCTTACAGAGTATACCTGAGGTCAATTAGGTGTCCTCTTATTTTTTACGAGGGTTTATTAGTATGTTTATATGTTATTCAGACTTTTATTGGGTGTGTCAGATCCTCCAAAAGTAGGAGTGGGTGTGTCTCTAATCCTCCAAAAGTAGGAGTGGGTGTCTTTGATCCTCCAAAAATAGGAGGATCCGATCGATAAGACTAACAACATTTTTGAAAAGGTCTAGCAAGCAACAACATATAGATATTGTGTATATAAGAGTTTAATATACATCCATCAAGCGAATTGTATTTAGGATTCTCTTTCGGCAATTTAAAGCCATACACACCTTGTATATAAAGTTTAATTTTGAAGGTATAATTATTGATACTCTTTGATCAGTTTTAATTTGATTGTCTTGTTTTTCTTTGTAATTCATTTAAAAAATAATTTATCTTCTTTTTGTGATAACTTTTTGATTCCAACTTTTCCACATGACATATTTAAAACGACAAGATTAAATGACGTCTTTGTATATTCTATCTCTTTTGTTTAAGACCAGAAGTTTTAGAAGTTTTATTTAGGTAAACGCTTTTGTGTTTTTTGTGATCATGTCACAATTAGTCTACTTATTGATTATTCTTATCCCCATCTAAGACGGAAGAGGTAGATGCCAAATTAATATTCCAATTACTAGAAGTAGAAAAGAGAAAGAATTCATAAACTGATCAAATATAATTATTAAGCTAATCAATTAAGTTAATTAGACAATAAAATTAAAATTTAGAACAAGCCGTTAAAAATAAAGAGTGTAAGTTGTCTAATATTTATATAGTAATCATGATATATTTGATACAAAAAGATAACGTAGGGTAAAAGTACTCTATTTCCAATAATTTAAAGGATAATTTTGATCCTTTTTTCATAAGTATAATACTAGAAAGGCGTCAAAATGTAAATGATTGAATCATAATTGAATTTATTTTCTATCTCCAAAATCATAATTGATTGGTCAAATTTACTATCATCATAAGGCCGCAAAGAGCGAATTATATTCAATACTCTTTCCGTTTCATTTTAGTATTA